TTTTTGACCCCCCTCTTCTTCTGCATTCCTTTAGATTGTTTTAGGTCTTCTCAGGTTTGGCTTTGTAGCAATCTACCTCACCGAGCCCCTGGTGCGAGGCTTCACCACAGCAGCATCCATGCACGTCGTCATCTCCCAGCTGAAGTACTTGCTGGGGGTGGAAACGCAGCGTTATTCTGGGTTTCTCTCTGCTATTTATGTGAGTTTTGAGAGGCCCTGTCTTTCTCCTTCCCATAATGGTCAATGAATCGCTAACACTTACCTTTCTGTCACTGCAGAGTGTCAAAGCAGTGCTCAGCAGAATCACCAGCACCAATATTGCCACTTTCCTTCTGGGCCTCGGGTGTATCATCTTCCTTTACGTGATCAAAGTTCTCAACGAGCGCTTCAAGAAGAAGCTGCCCATTCCCATTCCTGGAGAGATCATTGTGGTCATCGTGTCCATGGGCATCTCCTATGGTTTGTCGTTATCAAAGGAATACAAGGTCCATGTGGTTGGGAACATACCAACAGGGTAGGCCGCACACTCTCTATGGATTTGTTTAAGTGTCTTTTGGTTTAAGCTCGTGTTCTCTACACGTATGTGACAGAGGTATACAGATGTTGTCTTATTGGTTACAGGCTTCGCCCTCCTGCTGCCCCAAACATCTCGCTGCTGCCCAATTTGGTCACAGATTCTTTTGCTATAGCGATTGTAGGATTCTCCATGGACGTCTCGCTGGCCAAGATCTTTGCCCTGAAACATGGCTACAGTGTGGATGGCAACCAGGTGAGTGTGTCCACGGGGTGAGCTGCTGATGAGCCTCTGGCACTGTGTGTGACTAAATGTTTGGTTAGGACACTTTGGATCTTCTGGATGATGGGACGTCCTCTAGCTGTTTGTTGCAAATCTTGTAAAGTTATATTTTTATCCTGCACGCTGATATTGGAAATGCTGCTCACAAAAAGGTTCATTGTTCCAGTTTGTTGGAACGTGTTCATTTCATTGAACACTGAGTTGTTTGGAGCGTTGTATAGTTGCCTGACTGTACTATTCGTTGAAGACTGAGCAAAGCGTGTCCTCCAGTGACACATAGCTGACACATAAATGCAGGTCACGCATTTAGTAAAGCACGACTGTGGAAAATATACGGGTCGCATTTTCCTGAAATTGTCCAAAGCTGACGTGTGTAAATGTTGTTGCAGAAGGACTTTCCTCTCTTTTTCACGGTTTTCCTCCACGTGTCCACTTTCAGGAGCTCATTGCACTCGGTCTGTGTAACTTCATCAGCTCCTTCTTCCAAACGTTTGCCGTCACCTGCTCCATGTCGAGGAGTCTGGTCCAGGAGAGCACAGGAGGCAAAACACAGGTGACACACACGAGCTGCAGGAGTGATTACACTATCTAAATTGGTGCTGTAAAGCTGTTGTTAGAGTGAGAGGTGTGTTGATGGAGTTATTGCTTTTTTATGTGTGTGCTTTAGATTGCAGGGCTCCTGGCGTCGCTGCTGGTGCTGGTGGTGGTGGTGGCCGTCGGCTTTGTCTTCGAGCCGCTCCCTCAGGTGAGTTCCCGTCTGACGTTTGGGCGTGACCTGTGAGACCGCACACACCTATATGTCTTCTTTGGCTCTCGTTTGCTTGTGTTTCTCAGACTGCGCTGGCTGCCATCATCATGGTCAACCTCATAGGGATGTTCAAGCAGTTCAGAGACATTCCCAGTCTGTGGAGGACCAGCAAGATTGAACTGGTCAGTCTTTAAAAACAAGCTTAGCTGACTTAAAGTGCACCGTTACTCTGAGAGGTGTTTATGTGAACCCGAGTGAATACACGGTGGAGAAGCTGAGCTTGCAGACAGAAGTGTGACTATAATGTGCAGGAGATAAATGCACGTCGTCTGAAGACATTTGCTTATGTTAAAATTGCTTTGGTCTTGCAAAACGCTTCCTCTTCATGCTAGTTTCATGTTACTTTCCTTTTTGTCCTCTCAGGCCATCTGGGTGATCGCCTTTATCGCTTCTGTGCTGCTGGGACTGGACTACGGCCTCCTGGTGGCCGTCACATTTGCCATATTGACAGTCATATACAGGACACGGAGGTAATGATTCGGATATGTGTTTTTCCTTGAACTGAAGCTTAAAGGCAGCTGTGAGAGTTTTCAAAGAGCAGGTTTGATTTGTGCTCTGAGCTGTTTTCTTTCTCTTCCAGCCCTAAAACTTCCATCCTGGGTCACGTCGCTAACACGGGGCTCTACTGTGACGTCGACGAGTATGAAGAGGTAAATGTGTGAGGAGAGAAACCTGCTCCGTGTGAAACATCCACACTGACCAAGCCTGCTGTTTGTGTTCTCAGGCGGCTGAATATGAGGGGATTAAGATCTTCCACTCCAACTCTTCAGTCTACTTTGCTAACAGTGACCTGTATGTGAACAGCCTCAAGGAGAAGGTAGCAGTGTGTTTGAGTGTGTGGAAGCAAACAGAAACCCTTTTGTGGGGGAAATATGTGAAGCACTTATTATCACTGGGTCTTACCTGACTCAGTCTGAGAGGAGCAGCGTGAGCGTGTAATCATCTGGTGGTAGATGCGAGCACAGCTCTACTTTGAGATGAGCAGGAAGTCAGTTTGCTTGTGTTTTCACTGTCTTGGCTACAAATGAAGGTTTGCAGTTGTAGCCTGTTCACATTACAGCTGAAGCTTCAACAGTTCAGTGAAAACGTTTCTACGTTTGTCATTTCTGCTTTTCTGTGTGTTCAAATAACTAAGAGCAAAGAATACATTTTAACTTTACTGTGTGAATTAAAGGTTTATCCAGTATCTAAGCACCATGTGGGAAATATTCCCAGCCTCTCCCAGTCTTAACCTAAGGAGTAACTGTGCCAGCTTTACCAGCAACACCTGATTCCTAGGGATCAGTCTCTGTTGCTACTGTGGAGGCATGTTGAGTCCTTAAAGGGGAAAAGAGTCCCGTTGTAAGATCATGGATTGAGCTCAGTGTTTACGAGTCACAGCCATGCCTGATCGCATCAATAACACAAAGAGACGCTACAAGAGCTCAAAAAGCAACACGGTGCCACGATCAGCTGCAAAGGGTAACAGGGTCATTACTTTACTGCTTCAGAGCTTGGACAGTTGATGGAACTATGAATTCTGGGTAATTACGTTTTCACCTAGGTGCAGGTTTAGATAGCTTGTGTTGGTTAAACAATGAAATCACACGTTGAAAACTGCATTTTGCTTTTACTCAGGTTATCTTTGTGCAAGATTAACAGTTGCTTTGTGACAAATCAGGTGAAGCACAGATGTTACTGAAAGCAGTTGATCATGTGCTTCATGCTTATTGTGTTAAAGTTCAAAAGTAAAGACGTCGATATGTGTTTGTTTTGTAAACATTGTTTCAGTTCTCATTTTTGTTTTTCATATTCAATTCAGCTTTATTTACACAGCACCAAGTCACAACAACAGTCACCGCAAGGTGCTTTATATTGTAAGGTAGACCCTACATTAATAGATACAGAGAAAAACCCAACAATCATATGACCCCCTATGAGCAGCACTTTGGCGACAGCGGGAAGGAAAAACTCCCTTTTAACAGGAAGAAACCTCCAGCAGAACCAGGCTCA